CCGCTCCAAAGCTGTCGTCTTCTCCTTCACCATTGTCACCGACGAGGTAGGCACGGAGCAGCGGCGCAGAGAAGGTGGCGAGCGCAGCAGATGAATCTGAAGATGGGAGAGGGGAAAATGAGGGCGCACTGTTCAAAAAACCTCCGTTCGGCACCTTATATGGAGTCGCTTCCGAGTGATTGACTGGTAGGCCCGGGCAATCCTGTCAAATCCCGCAACAATCGCGCGAGCGATACATGGCGAAAAAGGCGGCGTGGAAATCGAGGCGTCTCTGCCTTATCCCGTCCGAGTACCGCGGCCCTCTCCGCTTCGCGCGCCTCCCGAAATTCGGATCCCACTAAATTCGCTAACAGCAGAGCAACTTGTCAGACGGAAGATCTCCTATGATCCGTCGCTCAGAAATCTCCAACTTCATAAAGTTCACTCGACAGATATAAAGAATGGATCAAGGCGACTGAAAGACAAGTTGACACCATCACTAAGAAGTCATTGATCCATAGTGAGACACATTCGCAGCACAAAATTCAGGTCGAAAATATTATCAACTCCTTCCTCACTCAAACCTCGATCCATTTGGGGGCTAATGATGAAGTCATGTACCTAGGGTAGGGTCACGGACCTGTCCAAGGTACCCTTCCAGTCGACCTGGAAGGAATCCACTCGACGGACTCGAAGACACTCGACCATGAAGATTCACTCGACCACCAGGAGTTCAAGAGTCACTCTGTATCCAAACGGTCTGTAATTAAGTAGTCTTTATGGCCATGATGGCACTTTATGTAAGGCGTTACCAGTAACGCCAGGTCTTAATGTACTTTAAACCCTCCGCTACGTGGGCTGGCTGGGTCCTGGCAGACACTATATAAGCCACCCCCCCCCACTGGCAGAAGGGTTCGCACCCCTGTAACTCATACGCTTATAATCCAGTCGACCGCCTCCGGGCTTCGAGACGTAGGGCTATTACTTCCTCCGAGAAGGGCCTGAACTCATAAATCCCTTGCGTATACAACTACTCCATAGCTAGGATCTTGCCTCTCCATACCTACCCCCTATTCTACTGTCAGTCTTAGTACTATGACATGAGCCGCCGGCGACGTCCAGAGACGACGGCGATGCTCGAGTTTTGCTTTCCGGTGACTATATGGACGGCGAAGTGCATCCACGCGACGAGGAGGCTCGTCCGCGTCGGGTGGTGCACGCAGCAGCAGCTCCGGTAGCCTAGGTCGACGGCGGTAGCAACTTGCGCGGCGGCCGGAGTTCGGTGAAGATGGACAGAGCGCTATGGTGCACGGGAGGAAGAGTGGGTAGGTGCTCTGGGTTCCTGGGAACGCGCCGAGGACGACAGCGTGCTCGGACGCGACGTGTGTGGGCTCTAGCCACGGCGACCTCGTGGCCGGCGGCGATGAGCTCACGGGCTCGACGGAGCCCGCGGTTAGAGGAAGAAATCGGCATCGGGGAGAGGGAGGTTCGGTGCGGGGGCTCACAGCGAGTCCAGCGAGCGCGAGGGAGAGGTCGGGGACGCCCGGTAGCTCCCGAATCGACGGCGAGGATCCACGGCGGCCGGAGGCAAAGATGGCGACGGCGACGGCTCCACGGGGCGCTCCGGCTTGCGTGGCTCGGCGGAGAGCTTCAGAAGAGGAGGCGGAGCTCCTGCGCATGTCGGAGAGGCGAGGGGGAGGCGGTGGCTACGGCAACGGTGTCGGTGGCGACGAGCTCCGCTCGGTGGTGCTCGGGGGAGAGGGCCGGACGAGGGAGAGACAGGGGAGAGAGTGAGAGCAGTCTAGGGGGGCGGCATGGCGTCGTCCAGACGCATCGCGGAGGGACAGGCAGGCAGGGAGGGAGGAGGTGGCGCAGCGCGGCGGTGCGCGCACTTCGGGAATGCGCCCGTCCTCCTGGCAGGAGGAAGACGACAGGGGAGGAGGCGGGCTGGGCCAGCTGCTGGGTTGCGCAGTGCTGGGCCAGCACAGGAGCTGGGCCGCAGGTAGGTCCAGGTAAGGTTTTTCCCTTTTTGTTTCTTTTTTATTTCTGACATTTGTTTCTGATTTAGTAAAAAATATTAAATCAATTTATTTTCTTATGCAAATTTTTGTAGGAGCTAGGGGTATTATTCCAGAGCTCCTCAAAAAATGGCACAATTTTTGGACATATAATTATGCATTAATTCCAAATGCCCAAAATAAATACGTATGAGCTTCTAAAAATATTGGTTTGATTTTTATCTCTGTCCAATATTTTCAGAGAGAAACATGAGCATTTTCTTGGACCCTTTTGGAGCAATTTTTATTTGGGTCATTTCCAGAAATAATTCTGAGGGTTTCACAAATCCTCATTTCAGATTTAAATGGAATTTAAACATGATGCACACATGACTAACTAGTCTAGGTCATACCAGAACTAGGGATATGACATATTGACACGTGCCAGTCGTCGTGGCCGCCGCGTATAGTCGGGATATACGTAGCACTATTGTATGTATTCTTGCTGCCGAATCCATCAGCCAGGGAACTACATGCACTACCTAGCCTTTGATGCATGCATGTTAGTACGTAGGCAATTCTTTTCGTGCACCAGCACCACATACAAATCCAATCAAGAAATCGGCTAATGCATGCATACAATAGTTCGTGTGTGTACATATATTTTACCTTCTGTATCCTGCACTAGAGAAATATATGCACCGTGTGCGGCATCGTCATGTCTTGGATGGTTAGAGGAACCATGGTATCCCCAGCCCACAAGGGTTCAAATCCTGGTGCTCCCATTTATTCCTAAATTATTTCAGGATTTCCAGCGATGCGCATTCAGTGGAAGGAGATGTTCCCGTCGACGACGAGGCGCCAGCGGTGACTTCATAAATCTCAAGATGATATGCCGGCTCAGTCTTTCGGAGACGCTCATAGGGGTAGGGTGTGTGTGTGTGCGTTCATAGGGGTGAGTGTATGCGCGTGTATATGAGCGCTTGTGTCTGTACTGATGTTCAAAAAAAACGACGGAGTCATGTATGCCACTGTTCGATGCTAAGTACCCCCACCTTTTTTTTAGAAAAGGAGGATGACCCTCGGCTTGTGCATCTGTGCGATGCATATAGCCACTTTATTAATTATTCTTACAAGACCTTACAAAATGAATACAACAGTAAGACTAAAGCCGCCATCTAAGCAACAAACTGTCGCTACACCTATCCAGTTGATGAAGGGGCGTAGATAGCCTGGGCCTAATACCAAACAGACATCGCAGCCAAGTCTAACATCACAGCCGAGATTAGATGATGGATCTCGAGATCCGATCACCAAGCTTCTGACCGGCCACCGCCGACGAAGAAGATGACCACCACCACTGGCTACACCGGCCAGAACAGATCTGCCATGGGTGCCGCCAAGCAGTTCACCAGGCCCTCAACGCCGCCGCCGATCTAAAGCCAGATGACATGCCGCCGAAAACCGCATCGCGCCGCCGCCCGATCCAGGCCAGC